ACTAAAAAGAGATTTTTGTTTTTAATGTGAAAAACTGAATAAAGTTTGTTTAAAAAAAAAGAATATTTTACCAAAGATGCTTTTTTATTTCAGACATTACCAATACTTATAACTGACAATCCATTTACACAGTGGCAGAAGGATATTTCTAAGTTCATATGGCAAGGGGAAAAATCCCAAGAATTAGTTATAAGCTACTGCAAGACACTAAGGAAAGAGGTGGTGGGATTCAAATAATTTAACAACCGGTTCTCTGACCTAATAACTGGGTGGTGTGGCTGGGTGGTCATGTGACTGGATGGGCATGGTCAACTTGATTGATCTCACCCTTAGGAAATTTCTCCTTAGTCCAACTCATAATAAAATAGCACAATAAAATATCACTGTTCCAATATTTAGAATAGAATAGAATAACAAAGTTGGAGGCTTTCTAGTCCAACACCCTTCTGCTTAGGCAGGAAACTCTACACCACTTCAGACAAATGGTTATCCAATCTCTTCTTAAAAACTTCCAATGTTGGAGCATTTACAACTTCTGGAGGCAAGTTGTTCCACTGATTAATTGTTCTGTTGGGAAATCTGAGGGGCTCCAGAAAAATGAGGGAGTCAATCTATTTTCCAAAGCACCAAAAGGGCACAATAATAAACAATGGATGGAAACTAACCAATAAGAAAAGCAACCTAGGACTAAGGAGAAATTTCCTAAAGATGAGACCAATTAACCAATGGAATAGCTATCTTCAGAAGTTGTGGGTGCTCCTTCACTAGAGGTACACCTGAAAAGGACAAGCCAGGAATCACTAAAACAATGCAGAAATTCCCCCTTTAAAAAAAAAGTCAACCCCAAAGCAAATGCAGCAGCTGAGAGGGAAACTAAGAGCAGCAGCTCATGCTAATTGAAAGCCTGGGTGTGCTGCCAAAAGCCATTAACCCTTCCAACTCTATTATTCTTTGTTCTCAATTGGGTGCTTCACAGCAGAAGCAATACAGCTGGCTGGACCGCACATGCATTAAATTCACAGCCTGTACGATCAAACTGCATCATTGTCTCATCCTGTATATTTTCCCCCAATGAAGAAACAAGAAGTAGCCAACACTGCAGCAGCTATAAAAGGTCTTGGGGAACTCCAGGGAGTATCAGCTGATCACAAAACTGTTACTTAATACACTTTATAATGAAAATGTTTGTAATCTTGTCCTTCTTCCTGAAGGGAAGAGGTTAACTCCATCCCTAGATTGATGATTGATGGGTTTCCCTGCCCTAATCCTGTCAGTTTCTGTTCTTTATTGACTTGTATCAGCTGCATTCCAGCTGCAACTGTTAAGTGGTTCTTGTTTGTCTGCCTGGATCTATTAACTGAAGAAAGAGAGAGAGAGAGAGAGAGAGAGAGAACCCCTATCTTGCATGTTATTTTTAGCCAGTTCTCCGAACTGCATAAGCAATTAACTAATGGTTTGGGCGAACCAGTGAGAACCGTCTGAATCCCACCTGTGTCTACTAGACCTGAAGCATGCTGTCTGACCTGGTCAAAAGAAAGGGGGAGCTTTTAGAATAAAAGACTATTTAACTTAGAAGATCATGAATTAAGGTTTGGATGGCATGGCTACTTATGGTATGATAAAAGTAAAGTTAATGTTGAATTTAATAATCATTTTGTTAGATGTGCCATGCTAAGAGTTTGGAATAAATATAAAACAAGGCTCTCTACGAAGTTGCCTCTTTGGGTGTCACTCCAGGAAGTGTTTTTAAGAAAAGAAATGATGGCAAACCAAACTGGTTGATGTATGGAAAAATTTTATCTTTTAACACAGGTAACCCACTATTAAAGCCAAGGGAAGAACTTGAATCAGAAGGCTATGTTTGCCAGTGGTTTACTTATCAACAACTGAAAGAAAGATTTAAACTGGATAAAAATGCTATGGATTTGACTTTGTTAATAATGAATTTGAAATTTTATTATGTGTATATGATGAACATATTATTGCTAAGATCTATAAAATGTTATTGAAATTGAATTTGGAAAATGAATATGTAAAACACTGTATCATTCAGTGGGCAAGGAAATAACGTGATGTTTGAACAATGGGAAAATATGTGGATGGAGGGTTTAAAATTTACATTAAATTATAATCTAAAAGAAAATTTCTATAAGATGATGTATGGTTGTTATATAGCACCAGATAAGTTACTTAAGATGTATAAAGGTATGTCAAATGAATGTTGGAAGTGTAAAAGTAAAGAAGGGACTTTTTATCATCTATAGTGGAAATGTGATAAAGCAAAAAATAAGATAAAATATGAGACATATTTTAATACAGAATATTTTGAAAATGGAGATAAAGATGAAACCAGAATTTCTCCTTTTGGATCTAATGGAAAAAGATCTGGAGAAAAAATTTGGAACTTTGTTACTATATATGTTGATAGAAGCAAGACTGTTGCATGCACAAGAATGGAACGACGATTCCTAACATGGATAACTGGTTGCAGAATTTGATGGAGTGGGCTGAAATGGCAAAACTGACTACTTTGATTAAAGAAAAGAATATAAGTACTTTTATTTTCACATGGAGACCGCTTCTGAACTTTCTGCTTGAAGTGGAAAAAAATGATAGATTGATAGATCTTTATAGAAATAGCTCGCTCATATTATAATGAAAAAACAAAAAGTTGTGATTTGATGTTAATGCCTTATTTTACTGCAACAGAGAGACTTGGAAGTCAATGTTTCTTTTTCTTTTTTTCTTATGCTCCCTCACTTCTCTTTCCCCCTTTTCTCCCCACCGTTTCCTATTTATTTTCATATTTTGTATCTTATTTTATAACCCAACAAAAATGGTAAACATGAAGAAAACCATTTAGATCCTAGATAATCTCCAAAGTCTCTGAGTTATCTTTGTAGCCCTGTAATAAAGCATATTTCAGCAGAATATTTTTTTTCTGCAGCCATACATTGTCACAATATCAAGCCTATATCAGCGGTTGCCAACTGGTCAGCCATGGCCCACTGGTGGTCCGTGAGAAAATTTTGGTGGTCCACAGAGAAATATCACCCCCAGAGCACTCCCCCAAAGCAATTAACCCAGACTGCACGGGAACACAAGGTTGTGCCACTCACATGGCCAGCCTGTGGGAACACAAGGCTTGTGTCAGAACAAGAAGAGGTAGTGAGGGGAGGGGGAACAGGGTGGAGGGGGAGAAACTTGCCTGGCTACTGAGCTGTTTTTCCCCCCGCTTCTTTCTTCTTCTAAGCAGGTTAGGAATGTGACTGCCTTGGAGGATGTGTGTTTGTGTGTGAGGGATCTCTATGTTAGATCAGATCTCTCTCTTCCCCTCCCAAACAGAGCTCAAAAGCAGGAATATGGCTGCCTTGAAGGGTGTGTGTGTGGGGGGGATCTCTGTGTTAGATCGGATCTCTCTCTCCCCCTCCCGAATGGAGCTCAAAAGCAGGAATGTGGCTGAGTTGGAGGGAATGGGATGTGTGAGGTATCTGTGTGTGCGTGGGGGGGGGGGGGGTTAGAACAGATCTCTCTCTCTCTTTCTCCCACCAACGTCAGCAACCCACCGCCACTCAAAATTCATATTAGTAGTCTCCAGGATTTAAAATTATGAGTTTGGTGGTCCCTGAGGTCCAAAAGGTTGGCGACCCCTGGCCTATATCATGGTATATCTCAGCTCTGTGATGGATGGTATATGGTGGATTAGATTTTCACAAATTAGAACTAAGATTTTAGAGTCACCCCTCTACTCAATTGAATACTTTCCATTCAGTTATATATTCCTACAGGCAGCAAACAAACATGACTTAAATGAACTTGGAGTATTATCAACAGATTCTAGGCAACATAATATGGCCACAAACACATTCAAACAAAAGAATGGGAGGAGTTATTAACCTGATACACAGAGAACTTCAAGCATCACCTGTTTCCTTGTTTTCCAGATCGAAAATCAATAGCAAGAAGTATGAGATCCAGCTTCAGAAAGCACAGTCTTAAACGTAAAGAGATAAGTTCAGGTTTGAAAAAGGATAAACAAATACACAAAGAGGTGAGGTTGTGAATATTGTCCCATTATAAAAAAATAAACAAACTTTAATTTGGATTAAGTTTTTTTTTTTTTTTGTCTTTTTCAAGCATGATAGAAAACATCCAGGCAGAACTCTCTTATGACCACAATTCAGGCAAGGCATGAAATTGCAGAAAGCAGGACCTTTGTGGTGGGATTCAAAAACTTTTACCATCAGTTCAGTGGGCGTGGCTTGGTGGGCATGTTTGCATGCACATACACACTTTGCATGCATGCGCGTGTCAAACACGCACTTTGCAGAGATGCAAAAGCATTCCAACTCACCTCCTGCAAGCCTGCACTCTCCCAGTTGCTTCAGCAGCTGCTGTGCAGCACCTGTGCTGTGCAAAGCAGCTGCGCTTCAAATTCAGAGGATAAAGGTGAGTATGGGAACTCAGGCGAGCGGGTGGGCCCAACAGCAGAGCAGTGGAGAGAACCAGTTTGGTCTCTGCTGCTCATCTCCACTAATGGCTCAGCAGAACTGGGCAGAACCGGTAGCATACCACTTGGATAGTTTTAGGTGTGTCCTATGCCCAAGTTTCTCCTCTATTAGAATCAATACCAGAAGTGATATTCAGCAAGTTCTGACCAGTTCTGGAGAACCGGTAGCAGAAATTTTGAGTAGACAACCAGCAAATACCACTTCTGACTGGCCCCACCCCCATCTATTCTCTGCCTCCTGAGTCCCAGCTGATTGGCTGGGTCTTCTTTGGTTGCCCTGCAAAGGAGAATGGAGCTGGAAAGCAGGTTACTGGGGTGGGGAGGGAATGGTATTCTTTTCCTGGAGTGGGGGGGGGAGTGGAGATTTTGCAGTATCCTTCCCCTGCCACACCCACCAAGTGATGCCCACCAAGTCATGCCATGCCCATCAAGCCATGCCCGCAGAACTGGCAGTAAAAAGAAATTGAATCCCACCACTGATTCAATACCTATCTCTACAATAGTCTGAAACTTTGTATTGTAACCAATTAGAATCTGTATGGTGATCAGTTCCATCCTCTCTGGAGGAACTTTAAAGAGTTGCATTGTTTTACTGCCATGGCTGGTATGATACAAGATGAGTCTGAAGCAGAATCTTTAAGCATAATGGAGAGTCTGTGTCTTCTAGCTTAGAAGGTTACTGAAAGCATAACCAGCTGATCTTCCTTTGAGGACTTCTTTCCTCTCTTTTATAGTAAGGTCCAGACATTGGCAGTCATAAGCCTTGAAGAATCTTATCAGAAATATGCCTTTAACATGCCAATGAATGTTCAGATCTCAGGAACTTGGTATACTGAGATCAAATTAAGTAATTCTGGGAATCCAAAATATGCAATCTAGAATCTCACAATAAATATATTGTGGGATTTTCATATTCAAATTTAATTCCTAGATGCAGCAATAATTCTATTCTGTCCCTGTGTTGATTGGGATGTGAGAAAAAAATTATGTCAAGAATTATTCTATCTGAGTAGCAACTTGTCTGGTATGTGGAAATCTGAAAATGTGTATGTGGCAAAGAAAATGGAATTTAAAGTGGAAAATTAAGAAAATGGATTAAGGGAGCAGGGGTAGTGGGGAATCTTACCGACAAGCGTCTTTGAAGGACATGCCAGCAAAATCATTGGAAAGAAGCTGAGTCATCACTTTATAGCCTTGGCCTTCTATTTCATGATGGCGCTTAATCCAAACATCCATACGCTATTAAAAAAAAAAAAAATAACTGGATTCCCTATGGCTGAGTTGTTATCTAAATTAGCCACCAACCACTCTAACAATCATTCATCCTGTTAGTTCTTGAAATTAAAACTATCAAGTACTTAATAATCAAGATGTCCCAACAAAGCTCTATTGCTTCAATGAAGTTTAAACAAAAACAGATGTTTTAGTTCACACACATAGCTAACAAGCAGAATGATTATGAAAGGTATAACAAGATTTTGGTAAAAGTAGGCAGCAATAAGTTGTTTTCTGTCCTACAGGCCTGTCTTCTTCATAAATATGGAAATAAAGATAAATTAACTGAATTCTAATAGTGAGGGTGAAGGTTTAGGGCAGTAGTGGCTAACCTTTTTGGACTCCCATGCCGAAAATTGCGTGCGAGCTCACGTGTGCAAGCTCACATGCCAGCACCCAGAAGGCAATGCATGTGGGGACCCCACCCCCTGCACATGCGCGTGTGACACCTGAGTGCACCGTGCATCTCTGTGCATGCGTGTGTGTCTCCTGCGCCCCCCACTCATGCGCACCAGATACCCAACAATCAGCTGTCAAGCAGGTGGCATGCATGCATGCATGCACAGTGGGGCTCTTCCAGGCAACCTCTCTTGTGCCAGCAGAAGTGGCTCTGCATGCCACTTCTGACATATGTGCCATAGGTTCACCATCATGGGTTTAGGGGAACTCTGCTGAAGATGTTACCTAGCCTGGTAATGAAATGTTCGAAACCAACCGACAAGGTCAGAGAATGAACCTGTACCCTCATATACTACACCCAAACTACACATACTCATCACTATTGCCCCCTTTATTAATAAAAAAAATCACTTTGGAGTCCATCTGACTGTACCTTTTTCCAATTCCCCAGAAAAATAGATTGCTACTTTGATGAAATTTATTTGAGAGGTTGTCATTTTATTCAGGCATTTACCAAATAAGCTACAGCTAGTCCAGAGTGCAGCAGTGCAGGCAGGTTTTTTTTTTGGGGGGGGGGGGGAATGGCCCCTGTAACACCACTGCCCTACGAGTTGCATTGATTTTCAGTCTGCTTCCAGGTGCAATTAAAGGTGTTGGTGATAATCTTTATCCATACCAATAAAGGGTCCTTGAAGGACTGTCTCACCCCATTGGGATTAGTCCATACCACTTGTGCCAGGAGAGGAGGCATGCTGCAGGTCCCATCATCCTGATTATTCCAGCTGGCAGGGTACAGGAGGAGAGCCTGCTATTGCTCTTGTCCTCTGGAACATCTTGACCCCCAATGTGAGGTTGGCCCCAACTCTCCCATCTTTTCATCAGGTCGTAAAGACCTAGCTCTGGGAATTGGCCTGGGGCCCCAATAGCAGAACAGCACAGTGGAGGTGGTTGATCGAGTAACAACAGGTCCCAGCTCCCTCCACTCCATCCCTGCCCTCCCCATGTGTCCTGATATCTGATTTTTGTTCAATCAAGTTTTTTTATTTCAATCTACACATACACAACAATACATAAACAGCGTGGCATCAATACATTATACATTTTAGTATAAAAAATTAACAATACCATTCATATCTCTTAATACACATATTCGCATTAAATCATAATCCTTCATTGCTTATTTTCAACATTTCAGTACTCTCTCCTAGTGCCAGCCACCATATCATTTAAACATGCCTAATAATTTCATTATTCAATTTCCTTCCCTATTTTTTATTTTTTAAATAAAAAATTCTCATTTGACAAGCAGTGTGATTCCAGGTTTCACATCTCAATATAAACATGACCATAGTTACCTATTCATTTTACTTATTCAATTTCATATCACAATATTCCTTGTTAATATTAAATTCCTTAAACTTATTTTATCCAATCTCAGTTCATATTATAATTTATTTCATTTTTCTTAGAATATTCTCATATCTTATTTTATAGTGTTATCTAAAATTCTTATCTCACTTCTATATTCATTTCCCATATTTCCCTTATCTGTCACATTTGCAATTTTATCAATCCTTATTCCATTAATTCTTAAAATTGTCCCCTTTGGTTAATAGTTCGAGCTAACCACCTTCATTCTACTTTAATAACAATATTTCCCTATTTACCAATATTTATTATTTTACCAATACCAATATTTACTATTTACTACAATAACATTTCCCTATTTACTATCACACATTTTATATCAGATTCTGCATAACATTTTCTTGATCACCTTATAAGTCATCTATACATTACAAAAATATTAATCTAATCAATTAGTTATAGCAACTGATAAATCTTTCCATAATAATTCTCATATTTTTATGCATCGCTGAACATCATTTAATATATAATATTCTTATTATAAATTCCCATTTCCATATTTATTTCGTTAAGTTCCATATCTAACGTAGCAATAATCCTTCAGTAAAAAAGAAGGAAAAAAGAGATAAAGAAAAAACAATTATCAGTTACAATCTTATCTATTTTCAATACTTATTTATCACAATATATTACCTTGTGAAATCATTCCCTATTCTTTTTTTTTACCCATTATCTCTCACTCTCCTAACAATGTAATTCCTTTTCATTTTTGTTTGCTTCCTGTTTCTCTTTATGTTCTGGTACTTTCTCTTAATTCCCTTTTTCCTCATTATTATTCCTCTCTATTGCTCATTCCATTTATCTCTTTCCCACCCTGTCTCGGTCTTCCTTTTGCATTTCTCTTTTCTGCTTTTTCCCTTTCCTTTTTTTCATTTTCTGAACCATTTCCCCTTTCATTATCAAATCAAACCACAGATTTTTAATTTTAATTCCTTCCCCCCCCCCCTGCTTAAATGATTGTTGTTCCGCTTGGTCTTCTAAGCTGGCTTCCTCTTTGTTTGACTCCTCTCCCTCTGGTTCTCTTTGCTCTTCTGCAAGCTGAGTCACCATTTCTAGTTTCTGTAATAAATTGTTACACATTTCCAGTTTCATTTTCATCATTTCCTTTATATCTTGTAAATCCAATCTTATTTCAACAAATAATTCCCCCATTGTGTCTGTTCCTTTTTTCTCCCCCCCCTTGATAAATGTATCCAATCCAAAAGTCCAGTATATTATTTCAGCCAGTGTCTTTTAAATTTTTTTCAACAATCAATGCCCATAAATCTTTGTTCTTCTGATTGGTCCTTTCTCAGCTATTTCCCAAAGTCACCGGGTGGTTCTAGAATGATGTTTTCAAATATCTTCCCCCTTATAGTATCCTGATATCACTTTCCAGGATTTTTATTTTATTATAATGGAGTTTCTTTTATTTTCTCTTAAATTCCAAAGTCCAGTTTATTAGAAAGACCAAGCACTTTTCAAAAAGTCACTGAAATGTTTCCTGTACCAATCAGGTGGCACTCTTGGTTCTTTTCCACAATCCATTCTTTTTTTTACTCTTGCTTTCTTTTAAAAAAATTACAATACTTTTATTAAATTCACTAATTTCAATTATTAGCTGTTATTTCTTTTCAACACATTCAATTCCAGCATTTATTTATGCCTTTTTGGTGCCAAAAATCCAATAGTTAGCCTATTTAATTTCCATGCCTTTTGTAATCAGATATTTTCCTCTAAATTTTCTCCTTCAAATTAATCTGTTATAATGATTCAAGCCAATTTTATAAGATACAATTTCCTTCTCACTCTCTTTGGATGCTGCCTCTACACACTTTTCTCAAAGATAGTCCTTTATTCCTTGATACCGGGGTACCTTAAAGTCCATGTATTTTTCCTGGTTCACAATCTGCTTGCTGCTTCTCTGCTCCAGCATTATCTTAGTTTCCCGGACTGCTCCTCGTCTTTGTGGTGGCCATTTTAGACCACCACTGCAACTTGCCTTTGGAAGGGTTTTTCCTTGTCAGGGAGGGGAGTTGCAATTCCCCTCAACCTTCAAGTGATTCCTCCTTTCTTCACCACCCTTCCAGGGTGGTTCTGGTCTCAATCGGGACCCTCCAACTCAAAGCGAAACCACACACGATCATGGATTCCACTCCAACATCGATGACGAGCAACTAGAAGTCCAGTTTTAATGTCTGATCTTAAATTTGTATGTTTTAACTGTATATGTAACTGTAAGCTGCCCAGAGATTCCCTATAGTAAGATGGGTGGCCAATAAATCAATATAATCAATAACTATTGATTAGCAATGATGTCAAGATAGATTAAAGAGAAGTACCTGGATATCTTCTCTAATGAACAAACTGGTCAACAACATGGACAAACCTGGCACCACACAACTCTGAGCTATTAATCCAAGCTTGAGTTCAGCAAAGCAGATGATACTATCACCTTTTCTCCAATCCCATCCAGGCAGTTTTGGCAAGTAAACCTAATTCAGGAGGAAATAGAGAGCAACATAAACAATAAAAAACAAACAAACAAACCAGCAGAATCATACATTTGGAATGTCACCAGCAGGGAAAAAAACATAGTCCAAGAGTGTCGTTGTTAGCAAGACTAAAGTCTATATTTAGTTTGAATTCATTCACTCTCTTTCATAAATTATATATAATAGTATAATATTATATTTGTGAAACATTGTGCCAAGGTTCTGAAACAACTAATTTTTTTATTATAAAAATTAAATTGGATTTCTAAATCACTCAGCATCATGAACCTGTGTAAAGTTTAACAAAGACTTGGAAAACATATAATGTTTCATCATTCATAAACACCATTGGTGTCAGCAAGAGGTGAGGGTAGCAATAAGGATAAAGGATAACAAAATAACAGAGTTGGAAGGGACAATGGAGGTCTTCTAATGCAATGTCCTGCCCAAGCAGAAAATGCTACACCATTTCAGATAAATGGTTGTCTAATCTCTTCTTAAAAATCTCCAGTGATGGTGTACCCACAACTTCTGGATGTGGAGGAAACTTATTCCCCTGATTAATTCATCTAACTGCCAGTAAATTTTTCCTTAATTTTAGGTTGACTCTATCCTTGATTAGTTTTCATCCATTGCTCCTTGTTCTGCCTTCAGGTGTTTTGGAAAACAGCTTGACTCCCTGCTCTTTGCAGCAGCCCCTTCTTCTTTGTGGGACTTCTGATACAAAGCTTGTATAATTGAATTAAATTTGAATTTTTAAGTGGTTGCATCAATAAATGTGCCTCAGACCTCCATTTTCGCCTAGTAGTTCTCCTTACAATTTCCAGCCAATTCTCCACTGCTATCAGTTGTACTGATTATCAGTTGTCTTCCAGTTGCAATTTAAGGTGCCAGTTATTATCTTTAAAGTCCAAGACTGCATAGGTTTAGATATCACATATTTTCATTCATTTCTGTAGAGTAGATATCCTCCAGGTCAAACAATGTCATCTTGCAGAATCCTGGAGCTGTGCCTGCTTGGTTGTAGGCCCTGCCTTCCAGATTTAAAATCCACCCCAGAGATTCATGCAGCTCACACCCTTATGACATTCTAGTTCAATGGTGGCTAACCTTTTGGGGCTCTTGTGCCAAAAATTGTGCGAGCACTTGCCCCAGAAGGCAATGCCCCCCTGCCCCTATGCATGCACACGCAATTCCCCCCGCTGCAGCCCCTTTACCTGCACTGTGCTTCCCAGCTAATTTTCAGCCCATTTTTGGCCTCCCAGAGACTTGAGGAAAGCTTCTGAGGCTTTGCAGGCCAAAAAAGGCCTCAAACAGGCTGAAGATCGGCTGTGAGGTGCGCGCATGAGCAGTGAGGTGAATTTGCCTGTGGCTTGCATGCCAGCACAAATGGCTCTGTGTGCCACCTGTGGCAAGTGTGCCATAGGTTCACTATCACAATTCTAGTTGTTTACCCAGACCTTGTGTAGATCCTTTTAATTAGTTACTTTAGTTTTCTTTAATTGAAGACTTGGCAACTGTCTTTTTTCTTTTTATATTTTGGAAACAGCCCAATGTCATTGTGGAGTTGAGTGATATTGGATTTTAAAGGAATAAATATTAGAACCATGGAAGGAGATGGGATATTTTTGCTTTAGAATCTCTGCTGCTGGGAGGCTTGACTGTAGGGATGGCTAAATTAATTCTACAAAATAGAAAAAAGGTTTTGCTTGGAAAATCTCAGTGGGTGAAGTATGAGCTCCCAAACTCATAATGAGCTGCTGTATAAAACCAGGGCTACCTCAAAAATATAAGAAGAAAGAAAGAAGGGAAAAAACCCAACCTTGTTAGAAGACTGGATGATTTGTATTATAACTCTGGTGTTTGGAAAATGATTTTTGATAGACAGTACCCTGCATGAAAAACAAAACTGTTATTAGTGTATATTGTGGATAGGGGTGTGCCAGAGTATTAACAGTAAATAATATTAGCTAAACTAAATGGAGTAAGAATAAATTTGCCACCAGCTTAACTGATGAAGAACAGCATCAAAAACTTCACATTGGATTAGCTATGGACAGACATCTATCTTTCATAGACAACTGAGCCCTAGTTTTCAGTCTTTAAATCGTGCCACTTAAAATTGCAATGCTCAGGTCAGAAAACGCTTATCCATATTTACTGATTAACAGAGAGGAAAAAAATTAGAAAACCAGCATGTTGATGAATGAAAGCGTCAAATAATACAGTTTGTTCTGGATCCCATGAGAAGAAAATGATGTCTAACAATATAAAATTATTACATTTTTACTTCCTTTTTCAGCTATTAGACAAATCTCTTCATGGTTTGTATGCACTCTCACTCATATTCTCTGTTACTGATAGACTTTTATACAAATAGCTAATAATGAGGTGCAATGAAAGTTATAGTTGGGCAACATTTGCAGAACCATTAAGAACATGACAAGACTTATGAAATCATCTAGAAGCAGGCAAACCACCTTGCCAGTTTTGATATTTTAAAATTTGGTAACAGGGTATTGGGGGTTATCCTAATTAAATAAAGGAATACAGCTGTTTAAATCCTACCTTACCTCATGACATTGGAAATATCCTCTGTATAAGGATCAATAGAACATATATCAGCTAAAATGAGGCATGCTTCAGCATTACCCATCTGTGTTTCAGAGAGAAAGGAGAGAGGAGAAAATACTGGAATATTATGCCTATGTAATTAATAGTATTATTAATTGTACTTTTTATAATTATATTACATGCCTATGGCTGTGCTGGTTGACCTGGGGACCAAATTGGGGGTAGTGGTTTCCAAACTGGAAGTAGCAGTGAGATTGATGTCAGATTCTACCTCCACAACTTGCTGTCTGTTCTCCATCCGTTCATCTTTTTCATTATCTTACTGATGTATTTATTCTTGCTGTGTTCCTTTGCCGTTGTTTACTGTACTATTATTTACTTCTGTTCTGTTCATATGTCTTTTAATTTTTCTTCCTTTTTATTATTGTAACCTGTCTAGAGTAACCCCATGATGAGATAGGTGGCAAATAAATTTAATAAACAAACAAAGTGAATTTTCCAAAAAAAACTAAATGTCAGAGTCCCAAGAAATACACCTATTGCAAACAGAACTCAAAGGCAGATCGATTCCTCAAAGAACAGTTTCATTTTGAAATATCATCTTAGCATAGATTAGTGGAAAACTAACTCTGAGAGTTCCCATGTTTTCCACCTCATTAAAAAGTGAAAGTTTCCTATTCTCCCAAACAATGTGCCATTGTACAATCTGGGTGCTGGCTGGTTTCCTGGTTGCTTTTCTCCTCCTCTCGCTAGCCAGCTGTTGGAATGTCCTTGGCTCATAAGTAAACTATTTTGTTTTGGCTACAAAACCTGTTATCTCCCTACCCCTCAGTTCCTGGCTATGACAAGCCTGAAGCCATGTGAAGAAAACTCCCCATAGAGAAACTACAGAAAAGAAAATGGCCACAGCCAGGTCAGTTTCAGGGTTGACACTAAATAGAATTGCAACTCAAGCTAAGCAGATATGTTCTCATATTTTTTAATGTTTGCTTTTATTTCATTTGCTGGAAAAAGAATTCTTCCCAATAACTATGTTTATGATGGAGCTACATTGTTCTTCTTCTCTGAATTAAAAGGTGGTCAGAAGTGTGTGTGAATGTCTTGTCCCTTTTTATATAACCCCAATACTTCACCTGGCATCTTCCCTGGCTTCCAAGACTTTGAAAGCAAAGAGAAGATACTCAGCAGGAATTCTTTCTGTCCAGCCACTCTTTTTTTCATTACCATAAATCTGGTGGAGGATTTCACCATAATCCAAAGGTTATATATGACAGCTATAACCATATTCTCAATTTTGCAGAAATATATTTACAGAGCTATAAAGCATGATCTGCTTAACAATGATCTGTCAAATAAGCTTCAGTTGACTAAGAAATTGCCAAAATCAAATTTTCATTTGTACTTGCACAGCAAATGCAAATTCTTAAATGCAGGGAAAGTAATCATATTAATGTAATCAGTTTAATTTTAATTTAATTTAAACTACATCAAATTTAGTCCATGGTATTCCTATCCATTTTTTACCCCCCCCCCCCCATTTTGGAGCAAACTCTCAAAGGCTAAGGGTGATCTGTACTTTCTCCTTCCCCTCACCCCAAAGTTGCACATAACATAAATCAAGGTCCTTCTTGACCTTGGCAACTTTTAGTTGTGTGGATTTCAACTCCCAGGATTCCCAGTCAACTATCCTGGCTGGAGAACTCTGGAAGCTGAAGTCTGCACATCTAAAATCTGCTGAGGTTGAGAAACTCTGCCATAAATGGTCCCAAAGGTGCTTTTTCAAGAGGCAACTGGGTGTTCTGATTTTTCTTTAAAGACATTTTGCTTCTCATCCAAGAAGTTTCTTCAGCTTCTTGGATGAGAAGTGGAACATCTTCAAAGAAAAAAACAGAAAGTCCAGTTGCCTCTTGAAAAAGCACCTTTGAGACAACCATGACCTGGATGACTGAGAATCTCCAAAGACATTCTGCAATAAATTACAAGCCATCGTTACATAGTAAGCAAGTTTTGGTCACCGTGTTAAGAAACAGTCAAAAGAATGTGATAGTTGACTTTGCAATTAACATCCATTGTACATTATTAGTACATCTGTCAGATATATTTAGTGAAGAATGAAGTGACAGGTGCTGTCACTCCATGTGCAAAGTCTTAATAATAAGATCAATGTTTCTTTCATGATTAAACTGGAAGAATAATCTTCTCTAGCATCTTACTGAAGCCGCCAGTTTTGGGGATTACAGGATACACAGGCACACCACAACTCCAACACATATGTCTGACATCTAATCATCTATCATCTATCATAACTGGCTGACAAACTGTACTCAACAAGTAGTCCTTAATGGGGCTATGTCTACATGGAAGGAAGGAAGCAGTGAGGTACCACAAGGTTCCTTTAGGCTCAATACTCTTCAATATCTTCATAAATGACTTAGATGAGGGAATAAAAGAAGAATTTATCAAATTTGTGGATGATACTAAAGCTGGCAAGAGTAGCTAACACTCTAGATGATAGGCCCAAGATCCAGATGGATCTTGACAGACTTGAACACTGGGCCCTATCTAACAAAATTAAATTCAATGTAGAGAAAAATAAAGTCCTACACTTAGGCAAGAAAAACCAAAAGTACACATATGAAACCAGGCTTAATAGCAGTAATGGTGACAGGGATCTTGGAGTCTTAGTGGACAACCAGTTAAATATGAGCCAGCAGTGTGCACTGGCAGCCAAAAAAGGCAATGCAATCCTAAATTGCATTAACAGAGTGATACAATCAAGATCAAGTGATGTACTAATACCACTATTCTAGAAAAAGTGCAGAAAAGAGCAACCAGGATGATTAAGGGACTGGAGACTAAAACATATGAAGAACTGTTACAGGAACTGGGCATGGCTTGTCTAGTGAAGAAAAGGACAAGGGGAGACATGATAGTAGTATTCCAATATTTGAGGGTCTGCCACAGAGAGGAAAGGGCCAAGCTATTTTCCAAGGCACCCAAAGGCCAGACAAGGAATAATGGATGGAAATTGATCAAGGAGAGATTCAAACTAGAAATAAGGAGAAATGTCCTGGCAGTGAGAACAATCAACCAATGGGGAAAACTTGCATTCAGAAATTGTGGGAGCTTCATTATTGGAGGCTTTCCAGAAGAGACTGGACTGCCATCTGTCAGAAATGGTGTAGGGTCTCCTGCTTGGGTGGAGAATTGGACTAGATGACCTACAAGGTGCCTTCCAATTCTGTAATCTGTAATCCTAGTCTGTCTAGTGTTTATACAGGATTGTAATGTACCATCAAATGCTATCCTTACATTAACTCTCTGAAGATCCTTACTATTCATGACAGAACCACAGAAAAAACTGGTATATGCAGCATAACATCTGAATATAGTTTCTAGTTCCAGAGAGGGAGGATTTCTATATTTGGAGAGAGAAGAAAAACAACCATTAATTCTTGAGAAAATAATTATTCTTCCTTATAGCTAGCTACCTATGGGAGTTACAGACCTTGCATATATGTTCAATGACTACTTGAGTCATGCAGTCTTAGATTTATTGTTGTGGTCTTACTCTATTTAATCCTGCTATTTCAAAGCACTCTGCCCTACGAGTAAATCAGTTTCAGTTTCCAAAAATGTGGAAATGATGTAAAACAATGTCCTGTGGCTTTGTTGGCTGTATGTTTGACAACACTCTGCTTCTGTATACTAACACAAATGTGTAGGGCTCCTTCATACAGCCAACTCTCTGTGGCCAACCTGACATAGGACAATTTATCACAGGACAAGTATTAAAATAATATCAAAGAAATAGTGGAATAGTCATTAAAGAAAGGATGCAAAAGGGCGAGTGAAAAGAAATGCGTATGATTAAAATTAAAATATTTTAAAAATTATTTTAAATTATTAAATTGAATTGTTGAATTGTCCCATGGTGAGTTGGCCATGGCAAGTTGGCCACATAGAGTTGTCCTATTCTGCAGTCTGGAAATATCCAAATAAGACAAGCTCTTTCCTGATGACTTTCTTTGGATATAACTGAAGTATAGGAAGCCAAGATTGCTGGAAAGAAGATGAACAGTAAAAGAAGCAGACATCCATTGGTCACCTTAGAACTTTCCTGTCTGTGAGGATTTTGTCAAAAATTATCTTCTTTATTATTAAAATCAAAGTTTCTTTTGTCAAACAGAATGAGAATAGTAGGGAACAAATAGAGAAATGCAGGGCTTTTCTTTTCTTTACTCTGCAGAGTGGGTTTATCCACAAACATTTTTGTTGTATTTTCCTGGTTTAGAGAAGGAATTGCCGATATTATAGGGCTTAGATCAGGCTTGTCCAACCCGCGGCCCACGGGCCGCATGTGGCCCAGGTCGCCTCGTAATGCGGCCCAGTGCCCACCCCAACCATTGTGCCACAGCCAGCGAGAAGGAGGAGGAGAGGCAGGCGCGAGGCGGGGCGAGGCGAGCGCCAGGCCAAGCAGCAAGAGAAAAGGCGGGCGCCGTCAGAGCACCACCTCCTGCTGTTGCCGCCGCCAGCACCGCCGCCGCTTCTGCCCCTGCCACCGCTGCTGCTTCTGCCCTCGCCGCCGCTGCTGCCCCCACCGCCGCCACTTCTGCCCTGCTGCCACCCCTGCTGCTTCTGCCCCCGCTGCCACCCCCACCACTTCTGCCCTGCCACTGCTGCTGCTTCTGCCCCCACCGCTGCTGCTGCCCCCGCCCCCACCGCTTCTTCTCCCACCGCCACCCCCGCCGCTTCTGCCCCCACCACCACCGCTTCTTCTCCTGCTGCCACCCTCACCGCTTCTGCCCTCGCCGCCGCCACTTCTGCCCCCGCCGCCGCTACTGCCCCCACCGCCGCCACTTCTGCCCCGCCGCCACCCCTGCTGCTTCTGCCCCCGCTGCCACCCCCACCGCTTCTGCCCTGCCACTGCTGCTGCTTCTGCCCCCACCGCTGCTGCTCTCCCCGCCCCCATCGCTTCTTCTCCCGCCGCCACCCCCGCCGCTTCTGTCCCCGCCACCACCGCTTCTTCTCCCGCTGCCACCCTCACCGCTTCTGCCCTCACCACCGCCGCTTCTGCCCCCGCCACCACTGCTGCTTCTGCCCCAGCCGCCGCTGCCCCCGCCGCGGGGCTAGAAGCGGTGGCGGTGGCAGGGGAAGAAGCAGCGGCGGGGGGGGTGGCGGGGGCAGAAGCGGCAGCGGCAGAAGCAGCAGTGGTGGTGGGGGAAGAAGCGGCGGTGGCGGCAGAAGCGGTGGCAGCAGCAGGGGCAGCGGCGGCGGGGGCAGAAGCAGCAGCAGTGGCGGGGAAGAAGCGGCGCGGTGGGGGCAGAAGTGGTGGCGGCGGCGGGGGCAGAAGCAGCAGCGGCGACAGGAGCAGAAGCGGTGGTGGGGGCAGAAGCGGGGGCAGCGGTGGCGGGGGCAGAAGCAGCAGCGGTGGCGGGGCAGAAGCGGTGGGGGCAGCGGCGGCGGAGGCAGAAGCAGCAGTGGTGGCGGGGGAAGAAGCGGCGGCGGGGGCAGAAGCAGCAGTGGCGGTGGGAGCAGAAGCGGTGGTGGCGGCAGGGGCAGAAGCAGCGGCAGGGGAAGCTTCTGCCCCCGGCCCTGCTGCTGCTGCTTCTGCCTTCCAGTCCTGCCTCATCCAGCCGGGCTATTTGCAGGAGGAGAGGTAGGCGTGAGGCAGGCGAGCTTTCTCCCCCCCGCCTCCGCAAAATGTGGCCGGAAAATAAACTGTGATAAAAAAAACTGTGATAAAAAAACCTTGATAAAAAATAAATATTTTTTAATAAATAATTAATAATAAATAATAAAAACATCTCACTAACTTTATTTCCAAATAAATTTAATATGTTAACTATGTTTTCTAAGGTTTTTGGGGATGATCAGGTATCGTTACTGTTATTTTATTTTATGTGCGGCCCAAACCAAATTTTCATCTTCTAATGTGGCCCAGGGAAGGTGAAAGGTTGGACACCCCTGGCTTAGATAGAGTAGCACTGTAATACTTACTCTCCCAGAAAGACTATCTCACTGGCTATGTTTCCTTTGTGCTGAGTTAGGAAGTCACTTAAGAAAGCAGTCACACTGCTCAGAGTGATATTGCCACAAACAACAATAAACCTATAGAAAGAAGAGAAATTCGCAGCTCACGGTCTTGTTTTCAAGAAGCAAGACAAGAATTGGCATCTCACTCATAAGACAGTGATTTTATTCAACAGTGATTTTTTGTTATTTTCCAAACTACTCTGAGAGAAAGTATGCTATAGAAATAAAAATAAACAAAACAGCAAGTTGACTGTGAGAAGTGCAACCAGTGAATCAGGGAAAGTGCCTCTAGTGTATTAATATCTGAAACTGACATGTCATTTTTTTATTTGGCTAGGCCAAATAAACACTGCCTGTTGTTGTTGTTGTTTTAAATGGTGTGTGCCTTTTCAGCGAGGTCAAACCGCTTTTGGAATAAAAAAAAACTTTTAAGTTTTAAAGTGAAGGCTTTACAATTTAAATGGGTTGGCCTTTAAAGAAAACTAAGAAAGAGGACCAAACTAGGTCTTATGGTTTCCATGATGATAATATTCAGAAGAAATCATTCAATAAAATGGTTATATGCTAACCATGCCCCCAGGTGATTTACAACATTCATATCATGAATGAGAGAGGTGTCAGAATGGTACCTGTCATTTTATACCTATAGTTTAGGATTGTCCTGTGATCTCTGAATGCCTCATGCTTATAATGCAAACAATATATTTTGGGAAGAAAAAGAACTGACCTCAAGAAAGGTTGATACTTGTAAATATGTGCTAGGGGAAGAAGATAAAGACCCTCCTTGTTTCAATACATAACAATGCAGCAATTAAAACTGGAATTCCAGTATAAACTAAACTAAATCCCAAGAGGTCAAGGTTGACTCAACTGTCCATCCTTCTGAAGTGATGATGACCGAGATTGTTGGGATCATCATTGTCTTAATGATCCTGGAGATGATCTCAGTTTCAGTGGTTCAAGTCCCAAGCATTGCATAACAAGGTGAGCTTCTGTTACTTGCCTTAGCTTCTGTCCACCTAACAGTTCAAAGGCATGTTCATTTCAGGAGGGAGATGAGCTGGTGCTCCATGCAGGCAGTTAGATTCCTGACAGCTCTGAACCTTCCCATTTGCAGTGCCCATTTACGAGGCAACTCTAGGTAGGAAGGGGGGCCCTGGGTGATACTACAGGAAGAGACAGATGAGTATCTGTCTCTCTGGTGTGAAGCTAGCTCACCCTCCTGTTGCCTTGGGAAACGCACAAGTATGTGCTGTAAAGGGTTTGGTATCTTGGTACACAAACACACATCCAGACAGAAGGAACACATTTCTCCTCAAGGTGATTTCCAGGAATCAAGCTTGAGTTTCTTAAATCTTTAGTTTACATCTTGATTTAAATGAGCCATGCTGGTGCAGTGGTTAAAATGCAGTATTGCAGGCTAATTCTGCTCACTGTCAGGACTTCTATCCTGGCTGGGTCAAGGTTGATTCAGCTGTCCATCCTTCTGAGCTAGGTAAAATGAGGACCCAGATTGTTGGGGTCAATATGTCTGTAAACCACTTAAAGAGGGCTATAAAGCACTATGAAGCAGTATATAAATATAACTGTTATTGCTACCTTTTTATAGAGCTTTATTCACAAAGCAAATAAAAGTCATGCTTTTCTCCAGTTTGGAAATCATATGTAATAGTTATTCATTCATTTACTTATAAAAATCTTTCCTACTTTGTCCCCCTTTAAAAGAATCCCCGAAAAGGAACATATTTTGCTTTCTTGCAGTAATTTTGACTTTGGTGCTGGATTAACACATCTCTTGTCTTTACACAATACATTGTGAGGCAGTGTGGTGCAATAGTTACAATATTGATAGATAATGAATGCCAGGTTCACCCTACCCCTACTGAATGATAGCTCTCTTTGTTTCAATACAACCTACTTTAAATGACTATTTTTATGAGTGGGGAAAATAGGATGGTCTATGATGATTGCAAGTTTGATTAATTAATAAAACTGATTTCTGAAATCAACTATTATCTCAGTTTGCACATTAAATTAGCCAAACAACAATGGCACAAAAGCAACCAACCATGTCTAATGATAACGAATCTTAATATGGTATTTAAATACTGGGCCTAGTTGATTAAGTATATAATATGAAAAAAAATCAGTCATTTGCAATAAATGTCCAAATTAAGAATTATAAAAATGCAAGGAGGATAACATAAAAGTTACTTACTTTCTGCCTTTCACATATACATAGGAACCCATGTAGACTTTTCTGCTTCCAACAATGTCTGCTATCTCAGGCAGCAAATTTGCAAAGATGACCTAGGCAATGGGAACCCAATTTTAATAGTTTTCCAAGATTCATATAAAATGTTTATTTTTCCACAGCAACTCAAAATGAATCAATGATTGATAAGAAATAAAGGATGGAAACTAATCAAGGAGAGAAGCAACCTAGAACTGAGAGAAAATTCCTAACAGTGAGAACAATTAATTAGTGGAAGGACTTGCTTTCAGAAGTTGTGGGTGCTCCATCACTAGAGGCTTTCAAGAAGAGATTGGACAGCCACTTCTGTGGAATAGTGTAGGGCAGGGGTGTCAAACTCGATTTCATTGAGGACTGCATCAGAATTGTGTTTGACCTTGGTGGGCATAGCCAGGGTGGGAGTGGCTAGCTCCACGTCCCTCATTGAGGCTCCATATTCATCTGTGATGGGCTCCTGCAACTCTCTGCCAGCAAAAATGAAGCTCTGGAGGGCTGTGGGTGGTCCACTCAGGCTCCATTTTCAGCCGCAATGGCCTCTTGCAACCCTCTGCCAGTGAAAATGCAGCTCAGGGAGGCTGCCTCTGTTTTCACTGGCAGAGGTCTGCAGGAGTCCATTGTGGCCAAAAACGGAGCCAGGACAGGCCACAGGCAGCCCTCCTGAGCTTTGTTTTCACTGGCAGAGGCATCACAGGCTGGACCTTCACTAGAAGGATCTAACCCTAGAAGACCTCTAAGATCCCTTCCAACTCTATATCAGGAAAAGTACATCTTCATTTTTTAAAAATAATAATAATGGAAAATTCACTATATTAGCCTTTTCCAATCTATTCTTTAAATGAATGAATTAGAGCTCCCAGGACTCAAACTTAGTATGACAGTTTACTTATTGAAATTTATTGTCAACCCAAATTCAGTGCAATCTGGTTTAACTGTTGTCTGTGAAGTTTTGGAATGGTAACCCAAGAGATCCAGTAAACATCAGATTGGAGCAAGACAGCAGACCCAATACAGCAAAATGCACAAACTGGAAATTATTTTAATCTCAAATTATACATTAGATTTGAATCAGTTTCCTCTGGAAGGAAAAGAGCAATATGTAAATTTGAGGTTTGCACCAATTCATTTTTATAATAATAAAACATGGAATGTTTCAGCCTCAATCTCAGGAGTGGGATTCTACCGGTTCTATCCGGTTCTATAGAATCCCTTGTTAACGTTCTGAGCAGTCTAGAGAACTGGTAGTTAGAAACAATCTCCTTTTGTTTTTTTCCACCCTTATTACATTCTTGGCAGACAGCCTAGATTTCCTGTCTCCAGGACTTTTGGCTTTCTTAAAGGGGAAGGGTTGTTTTAAGATTTTTACACTGCTGTTGGGAGGAAATCCTCCCCTGGACAATCAGCATTTTGAAGAAATAATTGAATAATGAAGCAAAGCTTTTAGTGACAGGGAACCAAGATGAGTGACATCCAGCAAGGCTTCTTGGCTAGCTAGAAAGATTGAGATTCAAACGTGAGTTTACATACCCTTTCTGAGTCTTGGTCTAAAACTTGTTTTTGGTGAAGGTTAATTCTGTGCTTGGTGATGTTTAATCCTGTGTTTATTTATTATCCCTATTCAGCTTCAACAAGCAACAGCTACTGTTGTGATTTAATTATTTGTATTGTGTTTGATTTTTTTTCCTGCCTCATGGTTTCTTTTTCTATCTGGGGAGGACGTCTTCCTCACTGCTTTAGTACGATCTGGCACTGTCCTTTTGGGGTATACTTCCTAGAGGCCAGATGTTTGGCACTGCCTTTCTGGGGGCCATGTAACCTTTCCTTAAATCTGGATGATTTCCTTAGGATATCTTGTGAGGTGAGTGAGACCAGCTGGTATTTTTAAGTGGTGCAAACGGATCTAAGGATTGCTTTTCCTGGGTGTGCTTTTTCTGGAGAGTTTAAATGACCTCTCTGCTAAAGGGTTTCACTTTATGAGCAAGAGATGGCTGCTTGATAGTTATCACTGAATTTTAACTCTTTTCATTCCTCAAGGTGCTCTGGAACCCTGCCTAATTTGTAACTCTGGCTTGCAGGTCTTTTTAATCTAGTGATTGGTATTTAGGGCAGCTTTTTGTAAGCAAAGAAGCTTTTTGTATTTTTGTACAGGTAATCCTTGACTTACAACAGTTCATTTAGTGACCATTCAAAGTTACAATGGCACTGATAAAAGTGGCCTATGACCATTTTTCACACTTGACACTTTCACACTTTTACACTGACTGTTGCAAAATCCCCACTGTCATGAGAGGCCAGGTGAGGAGAAGTGCCCCTTGACATGAGTGATGTTGAGTTGGCCATGCCCACCCAGTCACATGACCACCAAGCCACTCCCACCAACTAAGCCATGCCCACAGAACCGGTTGTTTAAATGCTATTTAAATGCTATTGCTATTGCTATTGATCATAGGCGCAAACTTCTAATATCTCTGATCAACTCTATTGGTCACAGAGCAAGATTCCATTATTCCTGATTGTCCATAGTGAAATATTATACTATTACTGTTTAGAGTACACTTTATAAGTGACACCCCCAATTCTCCTTCTCACAATTTCACTACTCTTACTCTCTGCTAGCAGGCTCCACCTCTCAGGAAGCTTATAGACAACAAAAATATATGAAGTAAAGCTGACTTAAATGTTCTGTGTTCATCCAAATCCTAATATAGTTCCTTACCAGACCACCAACAATGAAGAAAAGTACGAACACACGTCCTATGGTGGTTTGGACCACGATATCTCCATATCCAACTGTAGACATAGTTACCATGATCAAATATAAGCATTCGAAGTAAGTCAAGGTTTGATGATTGCCGTTATGTACCCAGGGATCTCCAGTATTCTCCATCTGTATAATAAATAGTAGAATGTAAGAACTGTGGCCAATATAGCAAGACATTGTCATTTGCTGACACCATCCTGTAAGCTTGTAATTAAGTCATTCATAATTGTAAATTAAAAATAATTCAGATAAAAAATATTCTTATATTCAACAACTTTAACTTCTTTTGAAATTCATCTCTTGAGGCTTTTCCTGAATTAACATGATTCTCCTCCTCAGATTTTTCTTTATTATATCCACTGACTATGTTGGTGCATTCTAAACTTTAACAGTTACTCAATTCACACAACATTAGATGCTCAAATAGCAAGGATGGGATTCTCCTGGTTCTGACTGGTTCTATAGAACCCCTGGTTAACTTTCTAAGCAGTTCGGAAAACCAGTAGTTAGAAGAAATCTCCTTTTGTTTTTTTCCAGCCTTATTACATTCTTGGCAGACAGCCTAGACTTGCTGTCTCCAAAGGAGGGTTTTTTTTTTCCTTAAAGGGGAAGGGTTGTTTTAAGTGTTTTACACTGCTGTTGGGAGGAAATACTCCCCTGCAAATACTTCTTCTTGGCTAGCTAGAAAGATTGACATTCAAAAGTGAGTTTATATACCCTTTCTGAGTTTTGGTCTAAACTGGCTTTTGGTGACATTTAATTCTGTGCTTGGTGACGTTTAATCCTGTGTTTATTGATGGAATATTTTTCCCTATTCAGCTTTGTTTGGAAGGAAAAAGATTAATCTCTGTTCTTGAAAAAAAACTGGGTTGAGTAATCTGCTAGTTCCTGTGTCTATTTGTTCTGGTAATTGGTTTAACAAGCAACAGCTACTGTTGTGATTTAATTATCTGTATTGTGTTTGGATTTTTTCCTGCCTCATGGTTTCTTTTTCTATCTGGGGAGGGGGGTCTTCCTTCACTGCTTTAGTGGTATCTGGCACTGTCCTTTTGGGTGTACTTCCAAGAGACAGAATGCAAGCTTGGCACTGATTTTTTTATTGCCTTTCTGGGGGCATGTGACCTTTCCTTAAATCTGGATGATTTCCTTATGATATCTTGTGAGATGAGTGGGACCAGCTGGTATCTTTAAGTGGTGCAAATGGATCTAAGGATTGCTTCTCCTGGGTGTGCTCTTTCCGGAGAGCTTAAATGACCTCTCTGCTAAAGGGTTTCACTTTATGAGCAAGAGTTGGCTGCTGATAGTTATCATTGCATTTTAATTATTTTAATTCCTCAAGGTGCTCTGGCACCCTACCTGATTTGTAACTCTGGCTTGCAGGTATTTTTAATCTAATGATTGGTATTTAGGGCAGCTTTTTGCAAGCAAAGAAGCTTTTTGTATTTTTGTGCAGGTAATCCTTGACTTATAACAGTTCATTTAGTGACCATTCAAAGTTACAATGGTACTGAAAAAGGTGACTCATGACCATTTTTCCCACTTACAACAATTGCAGCATCCCCACTGTCATGAGAGGCCAGGCAAGGAGAAGCGCCCCTTGACGTGATTGATGTCAAGTTGGACACGCCCACCCAGTCACATGACCACCAAGGCACACCCACCAATTAACCCATGCGCACAGAATCGGTTGTTAAAAAATTTGAATCCCACCCCTGTCAAATGGGTAAACTATAATTTAAGGAGATGTTCACTCAACATGCTAAATACAGTGACTAGTTCCTGGACTTATATGTCACAGATCATTCTCATGAAGTCTGTGTTAACTTTCTTTTATTAGACAAGAAAACTTGGTTACATATAATGAAAACCCTTCCCCCCCTCCCTTTCTGTTGGCAACTATAAAACACCCATCAAAATGTTTTATGAGTTGACATTCAGCTCCCATCACTTCTTGCAGGTGATCTGTATGACACAAAAAGAAACAGATTTATTGCAGATATAGGACTTAGGGTTGCAAACTCCCCCTGCCCTCAGGCTTGGTTGGATTTTTCTGCACGGAACCTTGCTACAAGGCTTGGACATTCCTACTCTTTACCCAAGATGCCTCTGATAAGGGGTAGACATTCCACTTCATTAAATATTAGAGTTGTCTCCTGTGCCACCTTGAATCGAGGGTTTACTGCACCTCATAATGGGTTTGGCTTCTATGATCATGGAGTCTGGGGGCTCATGAGGTAGAGGCCTCAGGATTGATCTGACCATGGGTTTTAAGAGGCTACTATGGAATACCGGGTGTATTTTCCCTAACTATCTGAAGTTTCCCTGTGACTGAGTTGATGATCTTTACTATGGGGAATGAACTTTGGCCCCAATTTCTTGCTAGGGAGTCTTAACCTCAGATATTTGGTGGAGAGATAGACCTTCTCCCCCAACTAGAATGACCATTGCAGGGCTCGGTGTTTGTCTGCCTGTCTCTTATAGCTCTGTACCACTTTTGCCAGTACTTTTTTGACATTCTCCCAAGTTGCTTTCAGCGTTGATATCCAATTGGTCTGGCTGACTGAGGAGTGGGGAATCCCTTGGATAGTCAGGCATTGGATGAAGTCCATACCACACACCACCCTGAAGGGGGTTAGTCCCATGCTACTGCGAACAGCATTATTGTACATGACCTCCATGAGAGGCAGAAGGTCCACCCAATTGGACTGCTGATAATTCACGTAGCATCTCAGGTACTGCTCTACCATGGCATTTAATCTCTCTGGTACTTGGATGAAAAGCCAAGCTAAGGCCCTTGGATGACCCAATAGTCCATAGGAACTCCTTCCAAAATTTGGCCATGAACTGGACCCCTCTATCTGATATAATTCTCTGTGGTACTCCATGAAGTGGTAGACGTGTTTCAAAAACAGCTTGGCTAACTAGTGGGTGAGGGTAGTCTGCTACAAGGTATGAAATGTGCCTGTTTGGAAAATAAGTCTATTACAGTCCAGATCACCATGTTTCCTCCACTTTTTGGCAACTCCACCATGAAATCCATTGTGATCTCCTCCCATGGCCTTGTTGGCTCTGCTACCATCTGTAGCAGTCCTGGGGCATTTCCTGGTTATTTTTTCATCACAATGCGGATGGTACAACTCTTTACATAACTGTCCACATCTTTCTTTATGCCAGGCCACCAGAATTGTCTCTGAGCTAAGTGTAAAATCTTTAAGAACCTGAAGTGGCCTGCCGGTTTGGCATCATGGGTCCTCTGAAAGACTAGAGTGCATAGGGATTCTGGGATGTAGAGTTTTGTCCCTTTCTATGCTAGATCATCTATTTTTGTTAATATGGGTTGATTGTCTCAGAACCAATGGTCTGCTAGCAATTCGGTTCTTAATTTTGTATTTAAGTCGTCTGCAGGTTGGTTTTGCTGATCACGGCATTGTCATCTGGTGGTTACTTGGGCCACTATTTGGGTATTGATGGCATTTATGACCTCCTCCCTTTTGTATTTATAGTGGGGCATGCAGGGAAGGGTAGCAGCAGAAAGTTCTTTCCCCCCAGGATGTGTTTTAGCATGAAGTCTAATCAGTTGAAGTATTGAACCCAGCAGACTTGTTTGGTTGATAGTTTTCACGGGGTCCTTAGGGCTTCCAGATTTTTATGATCAGTCCAGACTTCTAATGGCCTCTGCCTCCCTTCCAGCAGGTGGTGCCAGGTTTGCAGTGCTCATTTCACTGCAAAAGCCTCTTTTTCCCATGCAACCCATCGCCTGTCTGTGTCCGTGAGTTTGCAGAAGGTGTAGGCACAGGGCTGTAGGCTTCCTTGGTCATTTCTTTGGTGTAACACTGCTCCCACTGCCATATCTCTGGTGTTCACTTGAATGATGAAGGGTTGTTTGGGGTCAGGATGTTTCAACACTGGTTCTTTTGCAAATAGTTCTTTCAGTGTTTCAAATACTTTTTGACAGGTTAGGTTCCACTGTAGGGATTGCCCTGGGCAGGGTTTCATTCCTGGACTCCCCATCTTTAGGAGGTCCATCATGGGTTTGGCAATCCTCATGAAGGAGGGGATGAATTGTTGGTAGAAGTTTGCAAACCCCAGGAAGCTTTGTAGCTGTCTGCAGGTATGAGGGGCTGCCAGCCCAAAACAGCTTGTCCTTTGGCTGGGTCCATCTCTATTCCCTCATTGGAAACTCAGTAATAAGTAGTCCAACTGTGTGTGGTGAAATTCACATTTTGACTGCTTGATATATAAGTTTGCTGCTAGAAGTTTGTCTAGTACCTAGCAGACTAGGGGGTATATGGTCATTCATCATCTCAATGTTCTCTTGGGATTTGTCCAGCCTCTGGGTTTCTGTCAGAGGTGATCGCCAGTTGTTCTGGTGAATCCTCTGGGGGGGTTTCCTGCATGGGCAATGCTTCTATTTGATGGTGAGGAAGGGGTTGAGGTCCCTTTGTTATCCTTGGTCTGTGGCTGCCTCTCTGCCACCAGATGGTCGGGCTCCAATTGTCTAGCTAGGAAAGTCCCAGTATGACTGCATCTATCATTTTGGGAGCCTTCATCCTTGCTGTCATAAGAATCCGGTGACTGGTCATTGTTGTCTGGGGTTCTTCCCCCTTTGGCTGGATGGAGAGCGACTTCTGCAGCCTGATGGGCCTTCTGGGATGTGTTGGTGGCATGTCTGGGGCCTTGTTCCGGTCATGCCCTGGGTAGTGATTTCAGCCTTGGTTTCATATCTGGGGTTCTGCCATTGGCTAGCTCAGTCTGTCACGTAAAATTTGCTTGCAAGCAAACTCATAAAATTTGCTAGCAAGCAAACTCACAAAATTAACTCACAACACACCATGCATGTAAATATTGAATTTTTTATAAAAAAGAGTAACTTTTACCCAAAATTAGGCAAAGCAGGCAGATTGAGTTGCTCACAGACTCATTCAGTGATCTATCTATCTGCCATCGGTTAGCTCAGTCTCTCAAATTTGCTTCCAGTGAATCTGCACTGAATTTGCTTGCAAGCAAACCTTCAGTCCTAAGGGAGGTTTGGCTGTGCTGAGCTGAAGATCTAAAGACTAGCTAGAAAGCAAGAAATCCAACCATTTCCTGCTTCCCAGCTAATCTAAATCTCCCAACACAGCAGAACAGATGATGGTCAGAAAAAGGAAAAATAGGAATTTAGAAGCCAAGTTTGCCAGGTAAGGAGTGAGTGGGTGGGGAGGATTCCTGCGGGACATGTGTTTCTGCGCAGCCTGGATTAATTGCTTTGTGGGGGTGCTCTGAGGGTGAGATTTCTCTGCAGCCCACCAAAATTTTCTCATAGCCCACCACTGGGCTGTGGTCCACCAGTTGGCGACAGCTGATCTATAAAACATTTTATGAAGATTTTCTTTGTATGCAATAGACTTTGTTAATTTATAATTTCTATCCCATAATTTTTGACATTGATCTAACTCAATTGAATAGCCAAAGTTTTTAGCCCATACTATCATTGTCTCTTTTACTTGTTCCTCTTCCATTTTGATATGTAACAAATAGCTATATATTTTCTTTATTAATTTTTCATCTGTTCCTGTTAATATCTGATCTAGTTCTGTTAATTCTTTATTCAAACCATACATTTTAAAATCCTTTTCATATCTCAACTGTATCTGCATGTATGACCACCATGTTATCTCAATCCCTTGATCACTCAGTTCCTATTTAGTTTAAGTTCCCCCTTTTCATTTAAAATATCTTTAATCTGGTAACATTTCCTAAATCAATAGTGTTTAGATACATCAGTGCCTCCATTGTGGAAAGCCAGATCGGTATTTTCAAATAATGTTGTTCTTTAATTTTCTCCCATACTACTAATAATTTATTCTTAATATAGTGTCTTTGGAAATAGCTATGTATTTTGTTTTTTCCATACCGTAAAAAAGCATGGCAACCTAGTTCAAGATTGTGTCCCTCCAAGGTTCAGTTTTGTTCCTCAATCCAATCCACTCTTTCCCCCAAGTAAGTGTCAAAGCCTGATAGTACAATTCCCAATCTGGTAGCCCAAAACCAGCTGTTTTTAGAATCTTGCAATATTTTCAAATGTATCCTTGCTTTATTCCCTCACCAAATATATTTTAATATTGTTTTATTTAATTCTTTGACATATTTTTCTCCAGTTTTATTGGTATTGTTTGAAATAAATATAGTAATCTTGGCAAAATATTCATTTTTATGGTGGTTACTCTTCCCATCAATGATTGTTGTAGATTTTTCTACTTCTCCAAATCTGCTTTAATTTGTTGTGCCAATATATAACAATTATCTTCTGTAAGCATTACTTCTTTCAATGAGCCATTATGGCACAGTAGTTAGAATGCAGTATGCATGCTGACTCACTGATCACTGTCAGGAGTTTGATCCTGACTGGCTCAAGGTTAACTCTGCCTTTCATCCTTCATAAGTCAGTAAAATAAGGATCCAGATTAGAGGCAGCTGTAAACAATATGTAGGTCTAAGTGCTATTACCAGGGGTGGGCTGCTGGGGGTTTGCAGGGGGTTGGGAGAACCCCTAGCTAAGATTCTGCACAGTTTGGAGAACCCCCAAAACTCACTCCTGGCTGGCCCCACCCACCTCAGCCCACCCCTCCCAGGAGTCCCCACATGGCCCATTTTGCATGTAGTAAGTTCAGGTTGTGTGTGGAGGCTCAGGGAGGATGAAAAAAAGGCCTCCCAGAAGTTCAAGAGCCCCAGGAAGCCATTTTTGCCCTCCCAGAGACTCAAGGAAAGCCTCCAGAGCCCAGGGAAGGCAAAAACACCACCATCCCACTGCTGTGGTGCAGGAGGCTGACTAGGCCACGCCCACCATGGCCACATCCACCCAGCAACTGGGCAGATAATCCATTGCTAAAATTTTTGAAGTCCACCTTTGGCTATTACTATTGCTAACTGTGTCGTGGCTAGAGTGCAGCATTGTAGTCCAATTCTGCTCACTACCAGGAATTCAGTCCTAACCAGCCTCAGGTTGCCTCAGGCTTCCATCCTTCTGAGATGAGTAAAACAAAGGATCCTGATTGTTGGGGGCAACATGCTGATTCTGTAAACTGCTTAGAGAGCACTATGAAGTAGTATATAAGTCTAGGTGCTATTGCTATTGAACTTTCACTGATCACTACTTCTGCCAGCATCTATAGAACAAAAAATCTTGAATCCAATGTAAGTTAATGTCAACTTAAGTTAAAAGATATTTTAAGGAACATCACATGTTAGTAGAGAGTGCAGGCAGTTTCAAAGTTAAACCCTGCAGTTTTATTTGAATCAAACTACATTCAGTCAGGACATTCAGTATGAAATCTACCTTTACTGTTAAATAACCAGACATTTGCTTTCACTGGTATTTTCATCAGGAATCTTGATACATACCCAGTGAAGAAATCCTGCAGCCGTGAGCCAGGTACTGACAAATACAGCTAGCAGTTTGGACAGCTTGATTGCAGTACTGAACATGCAAGGAGAGGGTTGATATGGATGAGTTTCAAAGGAATAGGTGCAACATTCACCTCCATTTAATCCTTTGAGGGTCTTCCAAGTGAGGCACTATTAAATAATGTTCTTAACTCAACTGGACATTGATTGATTCATTAATTGCATTTCTCATCCTGTTTCTGGCCCATGGAGGGAGAAAACAAATAATAATATCACAAATACCTTTTCACTCCCCTTTCTGCTACCAAAAGGAATCGAAGCATTAGAGGTCTTTTATCAGCCCATTGTGGTACAGTTTGAATTGCTTCAGTTCAGGCAGAGCAGGCAGTTTGTCCTAGGTTCTTTGTAGCTCAATTCTTTTAACTCACCCCAGTTCTTTTTTAATAAAACACTGCTACAAAACAATTTCAGTAGTAGTTGTATGTGCCATATAGAATTGTTGGAGTGTTGAAACACCTTCAATGTCTTAGAGGCAAGTCATTCCACTGATTAACTGGTGTAACTGTCAGGAAATTTCTCCTTAGTTCTAGGTTGTTTCTGTCATTGATGGAAATTAATCAAAGAGAGAACCAATCTGCAACTAAGGTGAAATTTCCCAACAGTTAAACAATTAATCAGTGGAATGACTTGCCTCCATAAGTTGAGGGTGCTCCAACACAGGAGGTTTTAAAGAAGAGATTGGACAACCATTTGTCTGAAACAGTATAAGGTTTCCTCCCTAAGCAAGGGTTTGGACTAGAAGACCTCCAAGGTCCCTTCCAATTATGTTATTCTGTTTGTACTTTCCTGAAAGAGTTGCTGATGGCATCAAGAGAAAATCCCACAAGAGGAACCTGAAATCTAATTGAATCCATCAGAAACTCAAGGGTGAAATATCTTAAATCATCCAACTTTTACAGATTTTCCATATCTGTTTCAACTCCCATATCTAAATCCAGAAAAAAAATCCATGCATAAAAAATAAAACATTGGATCTATTTTTTGGTAATATGAAGGCAGATAACATTGCATTAGTACAAGAAACTGCAAATGGAGTTACAAGACACATTAGCCTTTTTTGCCCAAACCAAAGTATGTTTTGACCAACAAGTAGTGGAAAGCAAAAAGGTATGCCAAAGCCTAACCATGAGCAAGTTACTAGTACAATGGAGAGCCACGAGCAAGCAGTAAAACTGACTTGCAAGATCAGTTTGATATGATTCTGGATAAGGCATTTTTGGGGATGTTGGAAGTGAACCAATAGGAGTAGTCTAAATGGGAATTACATGAAGGAGAATGCAAAATAAAGTTCAGAATGTAGATGAAGTCGGCAACCCAGGAATAAGAAAAAATTAGTGGAAAGTGCAAGTGTGAAAGAAAGAGTGGCATAACTTGAGGGTGGAGTGAAAAGGGGGATTAGTCTAGAATTGCTATGTAACTACAAACAAAATCCAACCTTTCTTATGTGTTGTTAACCCTTATCTAACTCTAAGCTAATACTGTTGATTGAGAAGATTCTTGTGCATAGGCTATAGCAATAAAACAGTTTAATTGAATATTCACTGCTTATTTGTACATGATTGCAAGAGAGATTTTGAATCTTCAAGAGATACCTGCATAGGAAGACCTAAAGTCAATTTTACTTAGCTAACCTGACCAGGAGTGGAAGCCCTCTCTTCAAATTGGGATAAAGGATATCAACATATTTTGAGCTGGAGACCACTTTGATTTTGTTCTAGCTGACCGCTGCACAAAAGCCAGTTGAAAGCAAAAAAGAGGGAGATAGCTTAATAATGACCCAAAAAATTTGTCTTACCCACTAGTGGTGATTTGGAGAAACTGCAAAATTTTGGGAAGTTCCATCAATCTCAATGCTTTTAAGAAGCGTAAACCTATAAAGAGGAGGAAATGAGGAAAGAGATGAAATTGTCTTTTTTGTTTCTGGTGATTGAAATATGATTGAAGTATGGCAGCAACATTTAGACTGAAATAATGCATACCTATTTTAATTTCTAAATAGTAGGTGCTATTATTATCATTTTGCAGATAATTAAAAGCCAAACATATTTGATATATGATGGTTGCAATACATATATATTTGGTCACATTTAATGCCACATCAAATATGGCACATTACAGAAAATCTGCAGTTACTGAATTCAACAAAAACTTGCTAGAGGGAATCCTTTATTCACTGGAAATTCACTTGTCCTTAACAAGCATCCAATTTCTCAAGTTTGTGGGGGGGTGGGATTATGAATTTTCTCTCTTATTCTCAGAATGTTCTAGAATTTCTTTCAAATTTCCCTGATTTAAGAGTTTTTATATATGTTTTACACATAGAATCAGGAAATAATTCTGTTTCTGGTAATATATGCATTATATTGTTCCTTTATTCTGATTCTCCTTGTCATCCAGCCTGGAAAAGCTCAATGGAACAAGATCCAATTTTCCGGGAAATTTAATTAATTTTTTTATCTGATTGCATAAAGCAAAAGCAACAATGCCACATTCCAGCTATGAAGATATGATCAAGATATTCTTTTGAAAAGAATTTCAAAAGGAAATTATGTTTTCATTGAATTACATAAGAAGCAATAGGAAGAAATGCAAGAAATGTTTTCTTAATGGCATTGATTAAAACCTTTCCTACACAACCACTGGAGGAACATTGATAGTGTAGGAAGCCCTCTCCTACAGAATGAAATATTTTTGGGAATATTAAAAGAAGTAGAATATTATATTTCCCAAAGGAGAAATGGAGAAACATGTTCTTAGAGGCAGAAAGCAGTCTTTCTTAATAGCCTACAGCAAATGCCTGAAGTCTTTAGAGCTATTTTGTGCCCACCAAGAAGCCCTGGGCCAGCCTATTTACAAACACCTTCATTTCAAGCAATGGAATTAAAATTTACATCCTTACACCATGCAGATTCTAAGGACAAGATGTGAACTTTTAGGACATAATAGAATTAACCCACCACCATTAGAATAGCAAAAGATACCAGGCTCACTACATTGCACAATCCCTGCAGCATTTCAGAAACTGTATAAAAATCCTTGCACTCATCAAGCTAATTTGTCAGCTGCCCCAGTACTGCACACTATGGTTCTGTTCGTCAATAAATTTTCTTTCTTAAAGAGCCTCCATTTTATTCCTAGTTTGGCACTGAACCAGATGGATTTTTCTTCCAACAATAATTAATATGTTCAGTTGCTACCTAGGTGAGGTATTACACATTTTTAATATCTGCTTTGGATCAAAAACACACAATGCCAAATTAGATAAGCTTCTAAAGTTAAGTGGGATGATTAAACCATGGGACGAGAACCTGGGAAACATAGATTCAAGACTCATATGTATAGACATTTTACAAATATTTTCCATCTTAAAGTGGATCCAGATTTTGTATGTTTTCAGACATCATTGTCAAAGAAAGTCCAAGGGGCACAAACAGAGACTTGACCACTATCATACATTCCAAGTTTTTGATTTGTCTGTCTTTGGTTTACCATAACTCATAAATTGATACAATTGAAATGTCCCAAAGGTCATTTTTAAGAGGCAACTGGATTTTTTTTTTCCTTGAAGACATTTTGCTTTTCATCCAAGAAGATTCTTCAGTTTTGACAAAGCTTCTTGAATGAGAAGCAAAATGTCTTCAAAGAAAAACAAAGAAAGTCCAGTGGTCTTTTGAAAAAGCACCTTTGGGACAACTATGACCTGGATGACTGAAAATTCCTTCGAAACATACAACTGAGATGTGTACTTACCAAGCCAATTTTTTCCTAGATAGAAGGCTGTACAGACTGGAGTTATTGTGAAGAAATCCACAATGGAATTAAGCTCCAACCAGAATGCTAGCTTGTCACTTGCTGCCAAAAACTAAAAAGTAAACACAAAAACAAAGAAAACCACAGCACTGCACATTGTCAGAGATAATGAAACTATTCTCTCCCTATTTGGTCTTTTTGCCTCATGATGTGATCAGACTTCAAAAAAGTAGAGGTAAGGTTCACAAAATTGGAAAAATGAGAAAATTCCAACAGAAGAGGAAACTATCAAGAAAATAATGGAATGTGCAGAAATGAATAGATTAACAATGGCAATTAGAGAACAGGAGGAAAAGGAGTTTTATGAGATTTGGAATTTATTTTATGAATGGTTTGATAGAAGAGTAATAATGTAAAATATGTTGTAGTAGCAATAATAAAATACAATTGATTATTTTTGAATAAATAATACTATGAATATAATTTAGTCAATACTGGGACCTGTTCTTGAAAGATAAACTAGGATTGAAACAAAAATTTTAAGGATGATACAATAATGTAACAATATAACATAGAAGGTTGATATAAATAAGAACATAAATAAATAAGAAATGTACAATAATTATTAGTTTATGCACAAGATATATGAACCCAACCGACACACTGTAAAATTTGAAAGATGGTTTTTATTTGTTGTTTTTGTTGTAAATTTTTTTTAAAAAGAAGAGGTAATGTCAAATGAGAGCCCACAACCTGAGTGATATAATTATTTTCCCAGACCTATCTTAAATTTAAAGTAGGAAACTGATAGTTCTATCAGTGTAATAATGTGTCAATATTCCCATTTTTCCAACATTTTACTCCTATTCCATATCTTAACCGGCTTGCAAGAGTTCTTCTAAAGAATTTTTCTGCATACTTTTCTAAACCAATACAATTTTGTATTCATTATAAGTCTCCTTATGGTGAAATGGATAGCAAATACATTTAATAAATATATAAAATAACTTTGTCAAAAAGTGTGCTCATTTTCACATATAGATATATTATGGTATGCACTTTTCTACAAATTATTTTAAAAAGTACTCAAAACTACAAAATTTGGAAGAATGTGAAAATTACAGAATAATTGCATTGCTACGCAGTTGGTTTAAGGAAATTAGAAGTAGGCATGTTTGTATTACAATCCACATTGCAATGCAAATTTAAACAAATTTCTGAGCCATTCCTAGGTCTCGCCCTCTTATTCTCTTTTAAAATATGTTTAACTGCAAATATTTCTTACCCGCAATCCAAAATGCAGAAGAAAAAATAAATTAAAGAATAGATCGATCAAAATTGTCCGGTCTTCAAAGGTGAGACAAAACTCTTTAACACTGTAGTAAGGGGGAAATTATTGTTTATGATTTATGAGTAATCATTGTTTATATTAAGACAGGACTTAATTTTTTTTAAATCAACCCATAGTAATTCTTTAAAAAATAACCAGGTTGCATATTTTCATCAGAACAGCATTCCTTTAAAAAGTTTTAATAATCATTAAGAAAAATCAGAGCAGGAATGGAATTGGAAATTAGAATTTAGTCAAGTGTCTGATTTCATTCATAAGAAATCTATACATCTTCATGAAATTCATTACTGGGAGATGAATTTGTGTGTGATTGACTCTAAATCCAGATGTGTGGACTCCATCAGCAACAAACATAGCCACCTTTCCATAGTGCCTGGCCAAATCATTGCCCAGGCAGAGAAAGCAGCTGCTTCTTAATCTGGAAAGCCTTTGTCATAGCAAAGGAAGGAGTCAGAGACTACAGAAAGAAGGAGTTACATATATACCCACATCTGAGGCTTGAAAGCTTTAAAAAAATGAAGAAGAGCAACAAAGATGATTAGAGAGCTAGAAACTGAAACATACAATGAAAATTGCAGGAACTGGGTATATCTAGTATAGAAAAGGGAACAACTAAGGGTGACATGATAACAGTCTTCCAATTTGAGGGGCTGATTCAAAGAAGAGAGGGACAATCTATTCTCCAAAGGACAGGCAGGACAAGAAGTAATGGATAATGTTTGAAGGAAATTCATAAAAGTGTTATTTGTATGATAATGTCACAAAATTCATTCATTATTTGCCCCTTCTTGGCTCCCTATGAATTCCATTGAAAATACAGGTTGTGCTTCACACACACACGCACGCACACACACACACACATACACACACACCAAACATGTTGGCTCTTATACAAAAGAGCACTCCAATGTAAAGCATTTGATATTAACATGATTTAATTGAATGATTCAAAAGCTGGCAAAATTCGAGCCAAATCATATTCATACTGTACGCTGCAGAATATCAACAAGTAGAATTTCAAATTTCATTCAACATTTTTGACAGTTTCCACATTTTGTGTTGTTGATAAGTGAGGAATGACAGAGCTGGAGAAATTGCCAAAGCAGAAAAATTGCCAAAGCTGGTTTGATTTGCATTTGCAAAATGATGATGATGTTTTTTCCAACCAAGTAGGAAAAATAGAAACCTCTTGTTTGAAAAATGTAGCTTATATCTTTCAAAAGTGAAAGATGTTCCAGCTGTACGGATCAAAAAGATATGGTAGTTGTTTTCACAGCATGGTGTACTCCAGAAGCTTATGTGTATGCATATCCTGAATTTAGGATACTGATCAGTTAAATGAACTAGCTTTAGCAGAATTTGAATATTGTAATTTAATGCAAAAGTACTAGTCTAAAAAGAGAATTAATTACAGGTAGTCCTCGACTTACAACAGTTTTAGTGACCAGTAATAGTTACTCAGTGGCACTGAAAAAGTGACTTATGATTGTTTTTCACAGTTGTGACAGTTATTTGCAGCATTCTCATGATTATGTGATCAAAATTTAGATGCCTTGACAACTAGTTCATATTTATGACCATTGCTGTGTCCCAAGGTCATGTGATCTCTTTTTGCAACCTTCTGGTCAATGGGAAAGCCAGATTTACTTAACAACCAGGTTGCTAATTTACCAACTGCAGTGATTCACTTACACAGGCAAGAAAGGTCATAAAGTGAGGCAAAATTCACTTAACAAAAATGTTGGCCTCTATTGTGGTCATAAGCTGAGGTTACCTGTTTAGATAGTGATAATAGAGACTAATACATTAGAGGCAGACAGAGAGACTTAGAACACATCATAGAACTCTTCTTAGGGATATGAAAGAATAACATCACAGATGCTTCTGATGATGAATCTGAGTTCTTTCTTCCCAAATGAACCATAATGGGATAAATACAAGCAGGAATAAAATCTTCCTAACATCTCTCAGCTTTAAAATTTTAGTAGATGACTGAGCTTTCCTTTGTTTTAAAACAAAACATTCCAGATGTTTGTAACATCATGGGGCTCTTCTTGGATGCTCTGTTCCTTTTGCAATGCTTTCTGGAATGACTGCATGTCTATACACCACTGTGTCAAAGAGTCATACTAGGAAGTGCTGCAGAGCCTCTGCAGAAACCTTGCTGCTTTGAGTGTGCAGGGGCAAGGGCAAACCACTTCTGAAAATTCTGCAGAAAATGTATTGTTGTCTACAGCAGATGGCAGTATCTGGTCAAGTTAAGCAGGATAAGATATGATTCATACTTTTATGGGAAATCATAAAAATCCACTGCAGTGGGCTAGATTTGAAATTAACCACACACAAACATAGCATAATATATCCTAGGAGGAGGCAACAGCAAATCTATTTTATATTCTTACAAGAAAATATGCACATGAAATAGCTAGGGATTGAGCTGAATTTAATTTAATATATGGTAAGTTTAATGTATGTCTTTTCATTGATTAAATGGCTTTTTTAACCAAAGATTAAAAAACAACTATATTTTGATAAAAACTAACAGAGACATGTGAAATATGTTTTTTTTTAAGAAATACATGCACATAGGATAAATTATGAGGTTCTAATTACCTGTAACAGTTGATGAAGTAAAGGATGAGTGATCCAATACTAAATAGGAACACCAGTATTACCTAAAACAGAAACCTACACATAATTAATTCACTCTTTATTTGCCAATCTAATTCAAAATCAGAGGTTTCTAGGGTTTTTAGTTTTTCTAAACTCAAGGAGCCTCTGTGGTGCAGTGGTTAGAGTGCAGTACTGCAAGCTACTTCTGCAGCTAGCTGCCTACAATTTGGCAGTTCAAATCCCACCAGGCTCAAGGTTGACTCAGCCTTCCATCCTTCTGAGGTGGGTAAAATGAGGACCCAAATTGTTGGGGGCAATATGCTGATTCTGTTAACTGCTTAGAGAGTGCTGTAAAGCACTATAAAGTGGAATATAAGTCTAAGTGCTATTGCTATATTTGACATTTAAAAGAGCTATGGTGGTGCAGTGGTTAGAATGCAGTGCTTGCAGACTACTTCTGCTGATTGCCAGCTGCCAGCAGTTTGGCAGTTTGATTCTCACTGGCCCAAGGTTCACTCAGTCTTCCATTCTTTCAAGGTCAGTAAAATGAGGACCCAGATTGTTGGGGTAATATGCTGACTTTTTAAACTGCTTAGAGAGGGCTGTAAAGCACTGTGAAGAGGTATAGGTGCTATTGCTATTGACTGTCATAGTGAATCTCACACTCAAGAATTACTGGGTAGCATAAGAATTAAAAAAATCTATTTGATATCCTCCATTACCACTTCAATGTAATATACATACAGTATAAACCATGATTATCTTCAATTAGTTATAACAATTTGACCACCCTTAAACTTTTCAGTTAAATAATGCAAGCATTAGGCTCTCTCTCACAGCCCTAGGAAGGAGGCCATGGCAAGCCACCTCTGAAAAATCTTGTCTTTGGTACTCTCTGGTTGTTTTCTTGCAGACATTTCATTACCCAAACTAGGTAATATAACATCATCAGTATCTGCAAAAAAGCAATCAAGCTCAGAGAGCACCGAGAATTTCTCATTTCAAACCTGAGCTACAATATTCTTTTCTATGGAAATCTAGCTAAGAAAACCACAGTCTTATTCCAAGAACTGTCCAGGAATCAAAATGCTGATTTTAAGGAAGGAAAGCTACATTTGGAATGGCCAGAGGAAAACATACAGGAACTGAAATAAATGTGTTTGAAGGTGCTTATATAATTAATGTTCTTCAATATTAATTGCAGTGAATCAATCATTTAAACTGGCTATCTTTCAGATATTGCATGTGCTTTTTTTCAGAAGGTGGCAGCAATTTAATTCCGGAATTGGTGGTCCTGACAATCTTTTTTTTCCACCTACCAATAGTCATTCACCTGCTTAATCAATATTTAAGTCTTTTCTTTAAAATTTAACTGTTCTGTGAAGGGTTTAGCTCTTTATTTTATACACCCCTACTGTTAAGCTAATTTAAAAGCCAAGCAAAGTCAAATATGGTTAAAATTTGGATGGAAATTAAGGTATTGCTAAACTAGGAAATTGAATATCCTGGATGAAAGCAAAGGCAGATCTCTGTTCTATTTTTAAAAAATGCAACAACCCCATAAAGTCCATATCTGTCATGCCCCTGTCGGAGTCTGAATCCGAGGAGGAATCCAGACAGCTAACAGGGAGTGGGAGTGTGGTTCCGTTGGCTGTGGAGGAGGCTGGGGAAGGGCAAAGTAGGGCTGAGCAAAGCAGAGCAAGGGAGAGGGAGTCCAGAGGAAGAACCAGGCCCACCCCCTCTTCATCTTCACACAGGGAGGAATGGAGAAGAGAGCAACATGGGTTGTGTGGCTTATGAGGGAGGAGAGGGCACTGATTCCCTTCATTAGCCACAGCTGGGAAGACAGTTGATAAGAAAGGCAGGCTGCGTGCGGCAGGCTGCTAGGAAAAAAGCAACTTTATCATGTTGTCGTGGCTTATCTGTGTTCCTGGTGTCTTCCCAACCATGTGAGTTTTGCCATGCCTTCAAGCCTGAGATTCTTGTTTCTGCCCTGCCAAACTAATTACTGCAGTTTGGTTTGTTTGGACATTGGGGGCAAAATTGGAGATAATAAAGGGACTCTTATTGCTTATCTGACTGTGTTGTCTTTGTGCCATGGCCTGGGTCATCACAATATCCATGAATCCATGCAGAGTTGAATTCAATTCAAATGAGATTTGGCATAATATTTCACATGTAATTGTAGTAACACATACTCATCCTCCCTTTCATTATGTATGTGTTCATCGTTTCACCTGGATTTCACTTTATGATAAAAATATTCATGATTAAATCTACAATATATAATGATTAAAACAAATGTAGACTTCCCCATTAGAGTCTTGCCTTTAGAGTCAGGAATGCTTCATGAGTTCAGAAACCGGACATTTAGCATTTTCCATTTTCTTGCTTATTTTTAGCATGTAAGGTACTTGAAGCAATAGACCTATTAAACCTGTTTTAGCAAGTAATCTTATCAGTCATTTATTTTTTCCATTATACCATTTCACTTTAAGTGGGTTACATGAATTCTTCTCTTGCAGGGTTTGGTACCACTTTTCTTCCTGCATTTTTATAAATCTTGGGACAACTTTATACTTGCTGATGCCTGTCTCCTGTGCGTGGAAAATTCTATCTTAGTAACCTAAGCATTGATTCTTGTGCCTAATCACCAAATACTGAAATAATCATGAAATCATTCTGCAGTATAACCAATGAATATCCATCTACAATATTTTAGCCATCTTTAAAATAACTCACCAGAATACGGCCTATAGACGTCTGAGCTGAAATCATCATTACCACCTTGTCCTGAAATTTTCCTTTCCAGAAATTCAGCAATTTCATCTTATTGGTAAACAACTATCAAGATAAAAATAAACGTTAAGATTTTACACTGCTTGTCTACATTAAAATAAGGGCATTAATTAATTGCCTTCTGTGTGCCTCTTATATGGTGCAGGTCCAAACATTTATTCTGGAATTGCTGTCAAACAGATTTATTTAGTTATTTAGTTACTGTGCAACCACAATTCTATCTCAATACTATTCCTTTCCACTGATTATTTTAGGATTACAACAAAATACCAGAGTTGGAAGGGACCTTGGAGGTCTTCTAGTCCAAACCCCTGCTGAGGCAGGAGACATTATATACCATTTCAGACAAATGATTATCCAATCTCTTCATAAAAACTTCCAGTGAATTATGAACCATGAAGTATGACATCTGGAAAGGAAGGAATGGGAAACCCCTTAAAAATACTATCAACTGAAATGTCTATCTTATCAGGGTGTTATAATAGAAAACAAAAACAAAAACAAAATCAGAAACCAAAATCAGAAACCTATTTGCCCAAAACAAAATTAAATGTTACCAGGAAATACTCTGATCCATCATTTTATAGTTTATATCCTACTTCTCTTCCTAAATGTGGTGAAATTCAAATGGTGGTGAAGTTTGTTTTCTTCAAGGGATGGAGAGTGGGCGTCCATAAGTAACTAGGGAATACTATAAATAAGCAATGAATATCAAATATATACACTAATAATATGTAATCAAAGCACTGATTCGCCATCAGAATTCTCAGAAGAGCCCAAGATATTCCACTTCCTTTACATGTAACTCTCTATCTGATTTTAACTTCATGAGTAAACTGCAATATTCGGATATATAATCCTAATAGTTCTCAGCCACATTACAGAGCACGCTTACCTGAAATTGAATGGTATATCTAAAGAAGCACCTATGCAATATATAGCGGATTACTCTGACCATTAAGATGATAAATATACCTCCCACAAAAATAAAGAGACAAGAAGTGATAAAGGCCAGTTGGACATAATCAGTACAGTGGGCTCCAAATTCTTCATGCCAGTTGTCAACGAAGTGAGAGCTACTTATGAATCCTGGCCTGCCAGCCATTTTTTCCACTTCCTTTTTGTTTTCTTAGAGAATTCTAAGAAATTCTATTCCTTTGCAGAATCTTTATGATGTCACTGCCACTATGCAGACAATGTCAGTGTGTGTGTGTGTGAGAGAGAGAGAGAGAGAGAAAGAGAAAGAGAGGGGGGAGGGAGAGAGAGGGAGAGAGACCCTTATAGACCAGGGCTGTCAAATTTCCAGCCTGCAGGCTGGATGTGTCATGCTCTGGCCACGGCTGGTTTAGCGAAGGGAAAAAAGTCCTGATATGTCACATGATGCCACCATGATAACGTGAGTTTGACACCCCTGTTATAGACCCACAAATGATGGGTCCTTGGTGGTCTCTGAGCTTGGCTGTTTTCTTGCAGATGTTTCAGTACCCAAACAAGGTACTCACTTAAGTGCTAGTCTGATGATGTTACCTAGTTGGCTAATGAAATGTCTACAAGAAAACAACCAAGCTCAGAGAACACCAAGGGCTCCTCATTTCAACCCTATTCTTCTCTATTAGACCTTTTATTAGAAGTATCATATAGAAACCACAGGCTTAAATAGAAAATTAGTTTCCCTTCAGATGTTTTACAAAATATGTCACTATTCCTATTTAACTGACAAACAGACCAAGGCTTCTTCTTTTTATATTCATTCGCATAATTTATATCCAGGGATTATACCCAGAGATCACTTCATGAAAATTCATGGCCAATAAAGAAGTAATGGATGCAATCTAATCAAGGAGAGAACCAACCTAGAACTAAGGAGAAGTTTCCTGACAGTAAGAACAATAAACCAGTGGAACGACTTGCCTCCTGAAGTTGTGAATGCTCCAACACTGGAGATTTTAAAGAGGAGATTGGGCAGCCATTTTGTCTGAAATGGTAGGGTTTCCTGATTCAGCAGAGTTTGGATTAGAAGACCTCCAAGGTCCATTCTAACTCTGTTATTCTGTTATAAATAGTGTTTTTTTCCCTGATCCGGAATTTCTTGGAACCTTAATGTTTTTACTTCTCCACAGCTGCAGTTTTTAGAAATACAGAAAGAATTAACAGATCAGAAGTCACATCTACTTTGGCTTGTAGGCAGAAGGAAAGGACTTCTCCAACCACCAGAAGGAAAGAAAAAAAATCCAAGTATTACATTCTACAAATTACTAAATAAAGTATAATAGCCCACTTTTCTCTAATCAAGCCTTAAAGCCCCCTTGCAGCTGCTGGGATCAGATGTGCTACTGAGCTCAACCGACTAACACCCTGCTGAAATGTAATCTCATTCAACTCTGTAGGATTCCTGAAAAGACTTTTTTTTAAATCTATTATATAGCTGATGGCAGAATAATATTGCAATCAGGTTCATTCTTCATACAATCAGAATAGCTGAGTGGGGAAGTGATGATTTTGTCTGCAAAGAGGACACATGCTCAGGCAACCTAAGTAGGAAAACAGCAACTCACTTACAGGCATGGGAAGTGATGAACACATAAGACATTGCTCCTTGCAATCCCCCCTCCCAATTTCCCAGGCACGAAATGTGGCAGCCTCGAAGCTCCAATGGAAAAAAAAGGCTTCCAAGGCTGACAGGCTTCCAGGGGTGTGATTCTACCGGTTCTCAACTATTCACTAGAACCTGTTGTTAACTTTCTAAGCAGTTTGGAGAACCGGTTGTTGGAAGTAATCTCCTTTTGTTTTTTTCCACTTTACAGGGCTAATCCTTTAAGGAAGACAGGAAACATTCTGGTGTTGTTTCTAGCCTAATCTTTATTGCCCTGCTTACAGAAACTGCCTCTCTGTTAACCCTTATTACATTCTTGACAGTACACCTAGACTTCCTGTCACCTGACCTTCTCCTAAGGTTTTTTTTTCTTCTCTTTGCTGGTACTTTGCTGGGGCTTGACTTTCTTAAAGGGGAAGGGTTGTTTTAAGCTTTTTACACTGTTTTTGGGAGGAAATACTCCCCTGTTAGAGTTCTTCCAGCTGCAATGATCAGCACTTTGAAGAAATAATTGAATAATGAAACAGAGCTGCTGGAAAGAAGCTTTTAATAACAAGGAACCAAAATGAGTGACATTCAGCAAGGCTTCTTGGCTAGGTAGAAAGATTGACATTCAAACGTGAGTTTACATACCCTTTCTGACTTTTTGTCTAAAATTGGTTTTTGGTGAATTTAATTCTGTGCTTGGTGACGTTTAATCCTGTGTTTATTGATGGGATAATTTTCCCTATTCAGCTTTGTTTGGAAGGAAAAAGGTTAATCTCTGTTCTTGAAAAGAAACTGGGTTGAGAAATCTGGCTAGTTCCTGTGTCTATTTGTTCTGTTAATTGGTTTAATGAGCAACAGCTACTGTTGTGATTTAATTATCTGTATTGTTTTTGAATTTTTTTCCTGCTTCATGGTTTCTTTCTCTATCTGGGGAGGGGGTCTTCCTTCACTGCTTTAGTGGTTCCTGGCACTGTCCTTTTGGGGTGTACTTCCAAGAGACAGAATGCAAGCTTGGCACTGATTTTTTTACTACCTTTGGGGGGGGGAGCATGTGATCTTTCCTTAAATCTGGATGGTTTCCTTAAGATATCTTGTGAGGTGAGTAAAACCATCTGGTATCTTTAAGTGGTGCAAATGGATCTAAGGATTGCTTCTCCTGGATGTATTCTTTCTGGAGAGCTTAAATGACCTCTCTGCTAAAGGTTTTCACTTTATGAGCAAGAGATGGCTGCTTGATAGTTAACACTGTATTTTAACTATTTTAATTCCTCAAGGTGCTCTTGCACCCTGCCTAATTTGTAACTCTGGCTTGCAGGTCTTTTTAATCTAGTGATTGGTATTTAGGGCAGCTTTTTGCAAGCAAAGAAGCCTCTGTGGCACAGTGGTTAGAGTGCAGTACTGCAAGCTACTTCTGCAGCTAGCTGCCTACAATTTGGCAGTTCAAATCCCACCAGGCTCAAGGTTGACTCAGCCTTCCATCCTTCTGAGGTGGGTAAAATGAGGACCCAAATAATTGTTGGGGGCAATATGCTGACTCTGTAAACCACTTACAGAGGGCTGTAAAGCACTATAAAGCGGTATATAAGTCTAAGTGCTATTGCTATTGCTACATTTGTATTTCTGTACAGATACTCCTTGACTTACAACAGTTCATTTAGTGACCATTCAAAGTTACAATGGCACTGAGAAAAGTGACTTCTGACAATTTTTCACACTTACCATCATTGCAGCATCCCCATGGTCACAAGAGGCAGGCAGAAGGGAGAAGTGTGAGTAACATCGTGTTGATCACACCCACCCAGTCACATGACCACCCAGCCATGCCTAGCCAGTTGGTCATTAGGGCAGAGAACTGGTTGTTAAATATTTGAATTCCACCACTGCAGGCTTCCCCCACCCCCCCAGGAGAAAATCATGTCCTGGAACAAGAGAGATGCAATGGGTTAATTCAATCAGCAAGTTAACCACCGCAGGAGCACCTTTTGGCTTGTCAGGAAACTTATCATGAAATTGTTTCACTAGGGCATCCACTTTTACATCCCAACTCTTAACCCATGTAGCTTCTGACAAAGCGTACCCCTTCCAATGAACTAAATACTGCAACGTGCCTCTATGTAGTTTAGAATCTAAAATCGTTTTCACCTCATAATGAGTTTCACCTTGCACTACAATTGGTTTGGGAGGCTAAGCTCTCGATCTTGAACTGACATCTGGTTTTAATAAACTACAGTGGGAGACGGGATGTATTTTTCCTAGTATGCAGGGGAGTCTAAGTTGGATTGTTACCAGATTAATCACATTCACTATGGGGAAAGGTCCTAGGAATTTTGGTCCCAGCTTCTTTACTAGGCAATGTTAACCCAATGTATTTTGTTGATAGATAAACATGATCTCCCACCTGAAAAAGGGGAAGGGGGGTTGGAGAGACTGATATTTATTGGCTTGCTTTTTATATGCTTCCGTGGCATCAGCCAGTGCTTTTTTGGTGTTTTCCCAATCCTTCTTTAATGACTCCATCCATTCGGTTAGGGTCATGGAAAAGAGCTGTTCTCTGGGCAATTCTGGCATAGGAACAAATTCCATGCCACTAGTAACCTGGAAAGGGGTCAATCCAGTGCTGCTGTGTGCTGCATTGTTGTAAGCCACTTCCATGAATGGTGGCAAATCTTCCCAATTCTTTTCTTTATAAATATTTTTTTTAAACAAAGTTTTTATTTTTTACAACAAACATACAAACAAAACATAAAAACATAAAACCCTCTTTCAATTATATACACACAGTGTGTCAGTTGGTTACAATCTTTTGTGCTATCCTTTTTTTACCATTACTCACAAATTATATAAATTCTCACCTTATCTAGCTTGTGCTTATGCAATATCAATTATTAAACATTCATTTGACTAAACTATTTTTCCATCATTTTATACAAGATATTCTAATTTTCATTATGATTTAATCTTATACATTCATCCAATATATTGTATATTTTATATTGTATTCTATATCAATCTGTTAACTTTTATGGTAAGGCTTACTAATCTATTTCTTTACAATGTCTTTTTATCTAACCATTGATAAAATAAATCCCATATCATATAAAATTGTTTATCCTGGGGAGGGTGGAGCTGGTGTCACGGCAGTACAGCATGCGATCTTTAAGCTCTAAGATCATTGCTGATATCTCCATTGCAGGATGGTCTCAACAGACCCAAACCATCCTGTAGAGATGGTGACCGAGGAGGGCACATCCTGTTGATCCCAGGGACATCACAAAGTCCCTGGTAGATCCAGGAGAAGCCCTTTTTTCCTGCGGCGGAGAGGCAGCCATAAAAGTTGCTGAAGCTGGGACAGCTCTGGAATGGAAGAAAGCTGGAAAGAAAGTGTGTCAGCTTGGTGAGATAATTTTCTACTTATTTTTTTCCCGAAAGAAAAACCCTAAAAGACTAAAAATTAAATTTAAAAGTGAAGATAAAAGTGCTCAAGTGGTGAGATTAAGCACAAATTAAACCTGAAGGGTTGTTTT